GGAACTAAATGTAAACGTGATAAACGTGATATTTACAGGCTCCCGCTATACGGCGTACTCGAGCGTTGCGATCGCGAATACTTTTATGACTTTTATTATTTTTATGCTAGTGAGAACCAAAACGATATGGAAATGAATGAGGGAAAACTGGATCCTACCACGTGATTCCCGGCCAATAAAAATGTAGCGTTAAACGTTTAACGCAACCTTGTTGGAAGTCGCATAAGAAGTANAAAAAAAAAAAAAAAAAAAAAAAAAAAAAAAAAAAAGCATTGAATTATTTTAAAAATACTCAATTAAAAATAAAGATAAAAAACGCGAAAAGATAAAAAATTTTAATTTTTTGCCTTGGAAATGTTTGCAACATACATAATAACTAGTTTAGCGTAATTTTAATACACTTTCCATAGGTGCAAATATTTATTCTTTAAACCAAAATTTCATTTCATATTCCTTATTTCATTTTAAATACAGTAAAAGCTTGATATATCCAGATTCATATTGTGAGAAGTCGGATATTATGATACCTACAAAACATTCATATTTAAGATACAAAAATTCTAGAGCCGATATGGCTTATATGATAAGTGATTTCACTTCCTATTGATGATTAGTGATTTATGATAAGTGATTTCTCTTCCTATTGATGAGACTCGGATTCGAATTTCCATGCTAATTCGTAAACTGCTCTCTGTTTGCTCTGACAACAGTTACAATAACTCAAGTGGATACAATACCTCAAGTTACAGTAAGATACAATACCTCAAGTGGAAGAGGTATCATGTCGTGTTTGCGCATGATCTTGCCCTCATGCTAACCATGGAGTATTTTCATGTTTTTTTCTACTAATGTAAAGCAAATGTGAGCTTGTTTCAATTTTGTTTTCCTCCATGAAAGTGAATTTGTCGTAAGACTTAACCAAGGATTTCCTTTGTTTTGTAAGTTCGGTTCAAATTTGCAAAACTACGGCAAAAAATCATCAGCATGAATTAATACCAGAACTAATATAAAGTAAATACTTTAAGTGCAGAGATGCCAACTGCTCCGGACAGGCCAAAATTATTAAAATAAACGGTATTTAACTACAACTAAATCTTGCAAATATTTGACTAGTTTTGCTCGTTTTTTAAAAGGTATAAGAAAGACGTAACTGCTATAAAGTGGTGAATTATGTAAGCCTACGAATTATTTAGAAATAGTGGTGGATAAAAATTCTACTAAATTGAATTTATAAAACCAAGAATCACAATTGATAAACTACCACTTTAAACTATTTATGTGCTGTCCGGAGCAAGTTGGTATTTCTGTAAAATTTTCCAATAAATTTAATTTTAATAAATTTTTTGTTATTATTTGTTTACTTATATTTGGTAAAATGTAATTTTTTTTAATTATTTGGCAAGAATTTTGTATGAAATGAAAAAGAAACAATCCACATATTAGAATTAATTTTTTTTTTTTTAAAATGTACATTGCAAAGTTTATTCCCCTTGTCTTTCTTCTACATTAGTAGATTGACGATTAATACATATTCAACTTAATATGCTTTGAAACTTAAAAAAAAAAGCATTGAATTAAAAATACTCAATTAAAAATAAAGATAATAAAAAACGCAAAAAGTTAAAAATTGTAATTTTTTTTCCTTGGAAATTTTTGCAACATGCATAATAAATAGTTTAGCGTAATTTTAATGCACTTTCCATAGGTGCAAATATTTATTCTTTAAACCAAAATTTCATTTCATATTCTTTATTTCATTTTAAATACAGTAAAAGCTTGATATATCCAGATTCCAAAAAAAAAGAAAAAAAGAATCATGAGAAGAAATTTTTAAAAGTCTATCTTAATTTATTTACAATATATGTTAAAATCGATAGCCCTGATTGAAATAATAATTTTTTTTTTGTCCGTGAAATTACACTATGAAATTACATTATAATAATTAGGATAAAAGAAAATCGAACTTGACAATTTAAAAGGCATAAGCATTTCGAAGTTTATACAAAATAGGGCACGATATCTTTAGATAATTTATGTGGTTGCAAAAAATGTACTTATAACTTTATTTGCAAAAATGATCTATTAAGTGAAATTGAATTTAACACCGAAATGATTCAGAAGCTAATCGATGCATAAAAAAACAACTTTTTCACTTCATATTGTTTTTTAACTGTTTCGTTAAATGTACGTGAAATTTCAAATTTTTATTATCGACTAATTTTTATGTTATACGAGTAATCTTTAAGTTATTATTTTCTGAAAGAGTTTTGACTGCGACAACAATTTCACTTTATTTCGGAAATAATTTTTAAGCTTACAATGTTTGGTAAATTGCACCATACAGTACAAGATACATCGATAACATAAAAAAATACAATTGAAATTTACATTAAAATGAATCTGCACATTAAGGTATCAAAACTAGTGATTCTGGCTTCTTAGAAACAGACTTGAAAAAAATTAAGTGAAAAAAAGTTTTAAGTATAAAACCCGTTTCAACTTAACTATTTTGAATTAACTTTTTTGAGCCCCCTTATCGGAGGAGACTTGACCCCCTGTCAGGCAAAGTCAGAGACCCTGCTTGATATCTCATTGTCATATATCTCAGCTATTTCAGTAACATTTACTGATCAATTTCATTAACATTTGTCTCAACATCAATTTTGTTTTGCGAACGAGTTCGCATCACTTCCGCCGCAAGCTTAGTATCCTCTGAGATGAGATTTGTCCACTCATCTGTCACCAAAATTGGCTCCAGATTGATATCCATAAAGGTCATGACAGAATCCTTCAACGTTTGGTCAGAGTGGCGTTCAGCGAGTGCCAATGCTAGGCAAGCATTGTCAATGGTTAACTTGGATAAGAGAATTTCCCCGCAAAACTTGCGGAGATCTGAAACATCATATTTATCAGCAGCGTAGTACAAAGCTAGAACAGAATGAAAATCCTCATTTGGTACAAACGCTGTGTACAGGAATGAAATCAAGTCTTTAAGAACTTGCATTTTTAAGTCCACTATTTCTATAACGTTGGTTTCCTTTTCCTCTAGCTTGTGTTCGAACATTTTTGCAAACACTGGGGATCGTCCACATATAATTGCTTTGTGCACTCGCAAAGAGTCAGCGCCGATGCGCAAGCACACATCGGTGTACAGAGAAACGCCATACATGGTTTTCAAATCGCTAGACAATTTTACGAGATTTTTACTGTCATCCGCACCTTCCGATATCAGCTCAAAGGTTTGCGTCTCGATATTGTGTCCTGAAAATGTCATGGAACAAGAAAATGTCACAATATCTTTTGTCAGATTATATATATCGTTAGTATTTATTTTATCGTATTGGTCAATCAGTGCACATTGTTCATATTTCTCATATGTCTGATGAAGTATCTTTTTATACCATACTTTTCCGCTAGAGTCCACAATAGAAATTGTGTGTTCTACAGATACCTTTTGCTTTGTAGGATTGCACATGATCCAAATTAAATGTGATGAAGACTTTCTCATATAAGAATACCACCTAACCTCAGAACAGCAAGGATAGAAATCAGGACTTATGATTTCTTTTTCCAGCAAAAGTTTTGAAAAGTGTTCTATGGACCACTTGAAAGTGTAGGTGCTTATCGGAATTTGTGTCCTTATATGGCATACTTTCTTACACTTGGACATTGTTACTGAAACAAAAAAAAATTATATATATATTTTCTGAATGTTTTATAATCACCAAATGTAATATATATCCTAGAATGCTTGTCAAAAGAGAAATTTAAAAAAAAAAAAAAATACAAAATGGATATTTCAGCGAGGATAACAACAAAAATGGTCTCAGAAACTTTCAAATTGTTTTTGAAACAGGTGAGGTTAAAAATTTCAGTCTGTTATAGCTTGGAGTTGTTTCTAACAATCGTATTTTACTTCATCTCAATTTTCACAGGCAATTTATAAGGAGCAGATTTTTATTTGTTTTTGACTTCTCTTCTCTTGTTAATGAATAGTCAAGTTGTCATAGGGTTATTAATTTCTCCTGGCATAAATATAAATTTGTGACCCCTAATGTGTATATTATTTTAAATTCACTTCTGTTTAGGACTTCAAATTAAATTAAATATATATTAATCTATGTCAAAGGGGATATCTAAAGAGAATCTGTATGTTAAGTAAATAAATAAGTCTTCCTTTTTAATGTAAATATCACTAATCCCTTCAAACACAGTTATGTCAACATCAAGACCTATATATATGCTTAATGATGGAACGTGCACCAAAAAAGTAAAAGAGAGATAGAATTTAATTTTATTAATATTTATATTTCTCAATTTAACAAATATCAATTTAAAATTTAAGTTAATTTCTCGAATAACACGAATAAGTTGTTGTTGGTTTAAGTCACCTAAATCTGCACAATTGGCTATTGGCGATGGTCTCAACATCCCTGAGAATGATTTGAAGAGATGCCATCGCAATTTTGGTCCTCTGCAGAGGGGCTGGCTCCCCTGCTTCGGTAGCCCAACGACCTGCGTGAAGTCGAGTACTTCAGGGTAGATCAGTTTAACGAGGA